AACACTATAAACTCACCTGATTTAGTAAATCTAGATGGAAGATAGGCCCAAATGGAACAAAATTACCATAAGGAGATTGCTTATATCCACCTGGTACATTTCTTGTTGGTCGAATAATAAGCTGTTCAGTGCGATAAAATGGCCCAAACTTGGAGTCATAAATCTCCTTCTCTCTGCGGGCCTCACTGTTGGGAGCAGACCACAACTCTACAGGATCTGTTGTAACTGTGAAGAAAACAAGGCCACAAGCGAGTGCAATGATGATAATAGCACACCCCCCCATGACAACAAATGGATGAGAGCTACACCACACACCCCATTTAGTAAAGAAGTGACGCAAAACAGTTTCTAACGTGCCTCCAAGTTGCTCACACATTCCTGGAGATGAATCGGTGGATGTTGACTGAGTACTGGAAACTGGAGGATACACTCCACCATACTTTGAACTATCTGCAACCACAGCATAGCTGTTGTTCTTTTTCCTCATTGAGCAAAATATGCTGAGTGGAAAGAACACGACTACAAAGATAACATAGGCAACTAGCAGACTAAAAGAAAGAATGCTTAATCCAAAAATTGTCTCAGGCTTTGGCTTGGGCAGGGGAGGGGGTGGGACAGGGCAAGATGCAGTACAGTCTTGACAGCTGCATGGATTTGCTGTTCTGTTATTCCGAGGATCAATAAATTTTTGGTTACACTTGAAAATGGTCTCATTCATCCAAGTAAGGTTTGCTGCAAGTTTAGTCCTGTACTTAATATCGAATGGAGCATAACCATTTGTTGTGCTTCCCATGAAAGTAAGCAATTTTTGAGGTGTACATTTCGCAGCAGAAGTTCCACACAGAAAACTAAGAATTTTCTCATTGTTTCCTGGAAAAGTGACATCTTTGCAAGAGTTGAACAGGCCTTCCTTAAATTCAGGAGATACATAGTAATCCACTGCGGTTATTACGTTTGTTTTTTTCTCATACTCCTCTTCTGTCACATCCATGAAAAGTGATTGGTCTTGGCTGCAGGTCAATTCACAATATAATCTCCTCATGTTGTTCCAGCAAGCTGGACAGCGCGATGTTAACTGCTCCATAGTTTGCAAATTAGAGGTTAGTGCCTCAAGCTGATTGGTTGTGCAACAAGTGGGACGGCCTCGAAATTCTGGGCATCTGTCACTAAGAATTTGCTGGCCACGAGTGTCATTAAGATACTTGGCTGGCCCATTGTATAGACAGTTCTTGGGTTTCTGATCATGTGTACACTGACCATACCAAACACAATATCCCTTGGTATGATTTTTAATCATATCCTGTGAATTTACCTGAAAAGAAAATTATACCAAAAACAGATATGAGTGCCTTGGTAGGTTCAAGGCCGTGCTCTAAGAAAAACTGAAGGGAGATCCAGGTTGCCCAGCATAGGATTTATATGAATATGTTAGAGGTTAAAAGTAAATTCAGGTTAAAATGTTTTAACCTCGGTTGAATCTCAATTTTCTTTGTTCTCTACATGTAGCCCTTATTATTCATGAATTAGGGCTAGGAGACAAAGGAAGTTGAGATTCAACCTAGGTACCTAGGTTAAAAAATTTATACTTTCTAAGACTTTAGTTTCATGTGAATCACCCCCCCTCTTTTTTTTTTTTGCTTACTCGCACGCTGTAGTGCGCTATTTCGTGTGGCGCGCGCACGAGTATGCCATCAAGCACGTGAGCTAATTTAACGAACTTTTTAACGGTAGTTATAGTCTTGTATACCCTGAAGAAGGCAGCATTGCCGAAACATCCGTTAAGATTCTTATAATAACAGCGTCAGATTTACAATTTTTAAATTTTTTTAAATTACAGTAACATTAAGTACTACGCTGCGCAGGTTTTTCAATCTTTATTAAAAAATTTTAACCTGAATTTAACTTTGACCTGTAACAAATACATGTAAGCTAAGATTTCCTGGTCACCCAAGAGCAAAAGAAAGGTGCCAGGGGCCACCAGATGGAGCTAGAGCACAGCCACAAATTAGCAGTTTTGCACATGTCTTACAGAATAGCTTCTACACTAATGCTGTTACATTAGAACCCTAATACAAATGTACTGTAACTCAAACTCGGATAACTCAAACTAAGTCCCATTTCCCTTGGATTTCACCACCACTTTATCAGTCATTTTTACTCAGTTAACTCGAACTTGGACACCTTGAATTCTCTACTAACTTGAACCAAAATGTCCTTTCCCTTGATGACGAATACCCCAAAAACCTGAATTCTGGTTCTTGCAACTCCACTCGGATGCCATCTCATTAGCTTTTCTTGTTGTATAATCAGTAAAAAACACTTGTGCAATGAACAGATCACGTTTTATCGTAAAAATGCTACCACTAAAATAGTCTTCCAACAAAGAACTTAGAAAATGTGTGTGTGTGTGTGTGTGCGTTTGTGTGTGGGGGGGAAGGAGGGAGAGTGATCTTTTTGCGTGGTAATGGATTACATGGAAGGCAACCAAACATTTATCTTTCCACTTCTTATTCCATCGAGATTAGTCAGTCAGTATAATCTAAAGGGAAGATCTTTGCGTTAATTAAATCAATCAATCAATCAATCAACTTGTTTATTTCACTACGTTAACCACACACAACAAAAGCTGATTTCGAGGTTCGATGTAAGCAAACGCGCATCACAAACAACTTCTAAGCAGTATGGTGATCACAAAAGTTACAAAGTTTCAGAGAAAAATTAATTAGGTAAAAATGCATACAATATAACTAGTTTTTCAATATAACTATGCTGGCGGGAGTTTTGAAGAGTAATAATTAACTTAAGTTTAAAATACACACAGAAAATAATTAATGAATCAGAGTGATCCAGCAGAAGGCGAAGAGGCAAGTTTGCTTTACATTTGGAAGGCGATTGTGCTGTTTTTGCCTCAAAAGAAAGATTATTCCAGAGCATTGCACCACTATACTTAATTAATTAACTGAAAATAGAAATCGCTAGTGTAAACTGTTGAAAACATGATGTAATGGTAAACTTGCTTAGATACCAAAGTAGAGGCCTAGACTGCAGCAAGTGAACATACAATAATTTCATACTACACAGGGCTCGACATCAAAAAAAAAGTGAAGTCGCATTTTTGCGACCAGTTAAGAAAAGTTAGTCACAAATTCTCAAAACCAAGTTGCAAAGCACAAGTTAATATTTAATAAGTCCTTTGACTAATAAATTAATAACTCCTTGATTTCAGCAGCTTTTATTCATTTCTAATAATGTCTGAAAAACAGTTTCTGAATTACTTTAACGGCACAATCAAGATTGTAAATTACAACGTTCGATCGATCCTGAAAAGGTACAATCCATACAAATAATCCTGTTAAATGATAATTTGTACTCAAGTTAAAATTCAATAAATGAAACAAATTATTATTAATCTTACCGTCTGTTAATAATGTGAAATCCCTGTAATGTTTGCCCTTGCTAAATACACCAAGCTCTTAATTATTATACATGCTCACAGAAATAGTGCAAAGCTTGTGTATACATTGACATTTTCAGCACATTTACCCTTCTGTTCCACTTGTACCTCAAAACTGCAAAGTCTATGTTTGACTGTGAGTTATATCCTTAAAGAAGTCTGAATCAAGCCAAAACAGATGTTGCACAGAACTTTAGCTATAATTTTTTCCCCAAAAAAGTATTTTTGTGTCGTAGAAATTAGTTCCCATACATGAAATACTACTTGTTTATAACAGAACTGCAGTAATGGGGTCTCGTAACGTTGTTCATACATTGTGTTGTTTGGAACTCGAGCAGGATTTTACCACTACATTTTCAAATCTCCACAACAAGTAGGACACAAAATTTTCAAAGTTGTATTTCTTTCGTAATTTAGGTGAAAACTGATCGCAAAGTTGCGACTGCTGAACACGGCTTCTGATAGGTCGCAGAAGAAAAAGTCAAATTTCATGGGATTTTTAGGGACAAATTCGCGGAAAAATTGGCCGATTTCGAGGGGGTTTTCAGGGCAAACTTCACCAAAAAGCAATCAGTAAAAAACGGCCAACTTTGTGCTTATTTTAAAGGCAAATTTCAATAGAAATCGATTGCTTTTGCGCTGACCAGACCAGCATTTTTAATGTTTTTCTAACAGAGGTCATCATTTGCTCTTTCAACAACAATACACTCCAGAAATGAACCAATGGCTAGTGCCCAGTCTTTCGCAACATAATCGGGACGTTGTTTGCACGTTTCAGCGACAAAGTTCCAAGATAAATTTGTAAGTTTACGGCAAGTAAATAGCCCCTATAGCTGAAATAAGTTTCACATATGTTGTACAGACATGTATTTGATAATATTTTTACCAAATTTCGCTGTATTTTTCGTGTTTTTGTGAATTTTGTGGATTTACCTGAATTTTGCGGCTCCACGACCGCACAAAATATCAGAAGCCTTGGCTGAAGAAGTTTTAGTCGCAAAAGGGGAGAAAACTTGGTCGCAAATGCGACCGATACAGTTGCAATGACAAGCCCTGCTATAGGTTGCTTGTGCAAGAGTAGTCAGCAACAAGGTTCTTTTTGACCACGAGAAGGGGGAGAGGGCCTATACCCTCTTGAACCCTCCACTGACTGTCTACTTTTTGCAAGGGTCAATTTATGAAACCTTTTACAAGTGTTGCTATTATTTTAGAGCTGTAGCAACACTTTGGCCTAGTTCAGATGTGAACTACGCCATGGTTATGGAACTCTCATCCAAAAACTATTTCAAAAGTAGCTAGTCTAGAGTTCACCGACCTGTACACGTTTTAATTAAACATACATTGTTATGTTTATGGCAAGTGTCATTTATCAGAAACAAAGAACTCAGCGCTTTCTTTAGATCTCTCTATAAGAATGATGCATGTTTTTACAAAAAAAAAAATCCTCTAAGCGTGCAGGTTATTTTGTTGCCTAAGAAGGATAACGTGCATCAACTACATGCATGCAGCTTGTAGCTAAACTTTCGTGCGTGATTACTTGTCATCGAAAATTGCGTAGCTCTCCTCAAGTTATACCTCTAACGATGAAAAAGTTTGCACCAAAAAGTGCATTTATTGTTTACAAACACAAGAATTAAAAAAAAAATGTGTCCAATCTAACAGCGCTACTTCCAAGTACAAGCCCCAGACGATGGAAACATACCTAACATAGAACCCACGACCATAATGTCACTGCACACATCCTATTGAAAACTGAATTTACACTGCTGTAAACTAAACGTAAAGACCTTTAACATTAGGAGGGGGAATTCTATTTGTTATTATCATTGTTGCTCCAGAAAAAATTGCTCTTCTTACCCAATATTTCTCGGAAACATGACAGTTATGCAATGAAGAGACCCACCTGAATCGCGAGTACGGTGATCATAAACACAGCCACGATCGAGCGAAGAATCAACATTGATAGAGCCATACTTCTTATTTTCTTTCCGACAACGTAGACTTAAACGGTAACTGCTTAGTTTTTTTTTTCGAATAGCCTTCTCTTCTTATCTGTTAGCGGCAAATCCTTGTAAAATACAACACTAAACCACGGTCAAATCCGGTAAGAGGAAAGAAGATCACGAGTTGTGAGCCCTCTATATATGCTAATGCATTGATGAGTCAGTCCATCAAAGCTGATTTTTGATTGGTAGATTGCTGTCAGACCATGGCCATATCTTGTGACGAAACACGGGTCACGAGATTCTCAAGAAAATTTGTTTTTTCCAGAAGGGGCGAAGGTCATAAAACCAGCTCGAAAGCAAAACGAAGAATTTGATTCTAGAGAAGCAAAGGGTTCAAGGAAATTATTCGTTTTTGTAATACCACAGTCGGATCTTTAGTTGTTTACATATCCACGTGACTTACTCGTGGGCGCCCCCAAGAGAGTACAATTCTTTTCTTCCGGATACTGTATGAACTTGTATGGTCAAGATAAAGCTCGTTGTTGTTGTTGTTTGGGGATGTGCCGCCCGGCTCGAGGGCCGGTTGTCCTAGCCTGACTATCAGGCGTTTCTGGGGAAAAGGGGCAAGATGGAAGCGAAAAAGGGAGAGAGCTGAAGGAGAGAAACGCCTGACACAGATGCTTTTACTGTAGCCTTCCACCCCCACACAGCATGATTTGATACCATCCAATCACAATCACTTCTGGTCAG